TGGGCAGGGGGTGGAGTAGGAAATGGATAGGATGATGGGGAGGGGGCGGAGTAGGAGATGGATAGGATGATGGGGAGGGGGCGGAGTCGGAGATGGATAGGATGATGGGGAGGGAGCAGAGGAAGAAATGGACAAGATGATGGAAGGGTGGAGATAGATGGGATTAGGGGTGGAGTCAACGTAGACGTGGTAGATATGGGATGGTGGGGGAGTAGAATTGTAGAGGATAGGATGATGGGGTTGGAAACAAAGTGCAGAACTGTACTTTAGAGGAATTTTGGTCATGCACCATCCATCAAACTCACAAATGCATTGATAATCATCTAGACTGACTGTACTGGACCCACATTCTGTAGGCATTCAGGGCCTCTCTCCTGTAAAGAAATGTGAAGCCTTTGTACCCGTATCTCCTTTATTTTTGGTCTTTGTTGATTTACTTTTAACGATAGGCACCTTTCAACCAGAGAGGAAGGAAAGTTTCAACACACAGTCTGCGCACAGCACTAGCTAGGTTTTTTTCTCCCAAAGTATAATGAATTTTATCGTTAAGGTCGATAAAATATCTTGTGCATCTGTATTGCAGTCGGATCGTATGTCAACCAATCTTGTTAAAAAAAATGGATGAAGTTTGGTTAGAATACACCTGTAATTTAGTAACCAAATTTGTATAACTTGGATGTCTTGTAAAATGAGCTGTTGTTAAGGGAGGGAAATTCAAATTCATAACAAGCAGCAAGCCATGGCGGCTTTGCCGTTCTATTTAATACTTGTGATGGTTCACACTTTTAATTTGACCCTTTTAAGATGTTGTTTTTTTAAATTAGTTTTGCCATATGGATGTTTTATAAAATGGTCCAGTACAAAAAAGACCTATAAATGAACAGTACTAGTAGGCCTATCTGTAGTGATTTATGCGTTCATGACGCCCGAGCCTAGTGGCTTACAGGCTAAAGTCAGGTCAGGGCGTTCCCTCTCCCTATAGTCACCCAATGACTTGCCGTCGAGCGACCCTTCTGTCTCTAGGCCAGTCCTTTGCCTGTCCACAGCACAGCATTGCGCTAACGTCATTCTCTGCTCACCCGGACCGGAAAACCTAAAGCTTTATTCTTCCAGATGATCCCTCGCCTCAAACTGAATTTGACACCGACCTTTTCGATTTGTCATCGAGATAAACACTGATTGCTTTTGTTTTAAGCCCAGGCCTCGGGGTAAAGTAGATTTAGACTAGGACTCAAGATGAATGGATGGCTCACCGGAAAGTGTCTGTGTCTCTTTTGTTTTTAAAGACTGCTGTCAGGCTAATTCTTAACGAATTGATTTGGAGATGAGCAGAACCTGGGTGGGGCAAGGTACGGTCCAGCAACACAAAACACGGATAGCTGAAAGTCATAACTCATGGGTCATCTCTTGCGGGGTTGTGTCCACCTCCAAAGATTGAGCTTTTGCCGATGATTTCATCAACCTCCTTCGTCTTAGCTAGGGAGATTTTATTGTTGTACTGGCAGCTGATATCTTTTCCCCCAAATGAATCCAACTGATAATAAAGCACTCCGCGACAACGAAGAATTCTTTGATCATACTGTTTAAGTTTCAAAGTGAAGACTAACCACGTGTCTACCACTCTTCCGCAGTGCCAATGAGCGAATTGTGAGAGTTACCAAAGTAGCACAAAGCTTTGCCTGTATAATTAGTGCCACGATTTGGAAAATGTAAATGTGCATAGTAGGCTTTTATTATCCGGTTGCGGATGAACAAGAGCTCCGTAAAAATTGATTTCAATTAAAGCAAAACAAACCAAAATAACTTTCTTGTTTCTCATTTTCCGTACGTCTTACGAATCTCTTTGGTTTCACTTGACAATCGTTTTATCGAAAAGTATGCAATACGCCCTTCTTCCTTCAACGTAATGTGAATTTAATGAATGTATTTTTAACCGCACTATGTGCCCGGAAGCAGCGGGTGCATCTCTGCTTATTTTTTATTAATTGAACAGCGCCCTCTGTCCAATAACGGCTGGCTCCGGTCTTAACATCAACAGAACATGCCATCTTACAAGAAGCTTCAAGAGATCACGCCGTTTCGTGGCTTGAGTTGTTCAAAGACAGCAAAAACTCCCATTGACTTGTCAATCCGTTGTGTTCGCTGCTGAAACTTTTTGCTTGGATTTGCATGAATACTATACTGCGTGTAGAATTACTCATACAAAAGGTCAACAAACTAGAAAACTATAACATTTTCACTTTTAATACTGAGTGGAAAATGATGTTTGGGGGTTCAGTTAGTTCGGCGCAAACAGAAAGCAACAAAACAAGACGTCGTAAACGGCTAAATATAAAAAAACTAAACAGGAAACAAGACAAAAAAGCTCAGGGAGATTATGTCCATTTCTTTCTGTGATTTTATTTTTCTGTGTAAATTTCAAAATTACATCTGCATAAAAAATTAACATTATATAAAAGGTATAGATTTTTATAAATGAACAGGGCCATTCAATTTTTGATAAAAGTCCTTGTCTACTGACAAGTGAGTTCACTGTAATTACCCAGGTGATAAAACTCCTTGTCTACTGACAAGTGAGTTCACTCTAATTACCTAGGTGATAAAACTCCTTGTCTACTGACAAGTGAGTTCACTCTAATTACCCAGGTGAAGATTTTGTTTAGGCATCTTCAGTATTTTCAGGACAACTTCCAACAAACGTTTGTTCTTTATTTCTGAAAAATTCTAAATAATCTAAAAATTTGCCCAGTGTTCTCAATAAAAATGCACCCATAACTGGAACACTTGAAAAGGCCATCAAGAAACATTTGAACAATAGTTTTATTGTATGTAACTGCACAAGCAATAAGTGTAATGTTTCACAAAGCTAATGGGGGAAACAATGGAGAAATTACTGTATCACCTAAACTGTCAACAACTATTTATAACCAATGCTTTATTATTGGTACTATTAACATTATATACAGCTTCATTTGTACACATATAACACACTATTTGACAGAATATAGATCTATTACATGTACAACTTTTTCTGTACAAAATACAAATACTAAAACCAAAGTGACCAAATTTCACACACTTCGATTACTTAAATAAAACAATGTGCACTGTACAATAAATTATAATGAAATTGATTATAAAAGCTTTAGCATTGCAGTTGGGGTAATTTTAAACATCTCAGAGTTTTTCAATAGAAGTTACCCTGATTAATGGCTGTGATCAAGTATCTTCAAGAAAAATGTTGGAAATACACATCAAATTTGCACACAAAAGAAAGATGATGTTGAATTTGACATAAAAGATGTACATGTATTGGGTGCCTTTAACTTTTGACTGATGAAACATAAAAAATGTAATGAGGAGGTTTTGAAAAAAAGGACTCATCCAAACTGTCCTCTTTTTGTTTATTAGAGGAACAACAAACAGTTTTTTCTACAGAGCTATGTCTGACAATGAAAGACTGTTGAGATTGGAAAAATCTTGGCCTCAAGTGACTGCTTTTCCAACGCTGAAGCAGACCCCATTTTTCTTTGCTCTGGGTAGAGCCAATGTTTAAGGTGAAAGGCAGAGGCGAAATCTTTGTTGTTGTTCAGAGCCAGGTTTTGAGCCTGAATAGCCCAACTCAACAGTTGGAGGATTAAGGAAAGTTACTATAGTATTTAGGTTTCTACAGAAGGCCAATGCATCATGAATAATGGGTCAGCATTTTGTTTGTTGCAAATAGAAGTGCCTCCCTCACCTAACCCTGTCTAGCACCACTGACATGTATTAAGTTTTGTTTTATTTTTGGCACTCTAATTCAAACTTGTTGATCACTCAAGAAGAATTCTATTACAGTTTACCAAAGTAACTCACTGCAGCATTGAACCTACTCACTTTTTCTATACTTTTGTAAAGCACACTACTTTAAGTGAGGCGTGCATTTGTGACCATTCTAAGCTGTAGAGCACCATCTAATGTTTGCAGCATGAATGCCTGATAGGTACAAGTGCATAATGTTACAATTTCAAAACTGGAAATCTTAAAAATTAGTTTTTGAAAATATTCATCAAAAGTTTCTTCATCAAGCTAGAGCATTCTTCAGCCATTCTGATTGCATCATTACTTCACAACACTATGGGGTGCTTGTGACAAGGTGATATGGTTAATATGTACTTATGCAAAGGCTTCCAGAGACAAGACCAAGATGGTGGTATTTGATTCTAACTGTTCTTTCTGGCAGGTTATTTGGTTATAGGTTTAGATGACTCTGCTCAAAGTGAACACTTCCACATACATGCTGCATGTACGAGTACATCTGCTGGCTTGAACTAGTGTTCCTGAAATTCTGGCACAAATTTTACAATGCACTTGTGCCTCATAATATTAGGTGACCGTGGATAAACAGTGCCAGCAAATCACTGCTGTGTGGAATTACCTGACCAGATTGCAAAAGACTAGCTGATCAGATCCACCTGATTGCTATCTCCTGCTCAAAGTATCTACCCTAAACATCACGACAAAAAGTTTACTCAGTGTTGGTCTCCAAGCTGTGATGACACTAGATAAGGCTATGTAAGGTTATCAGTAAGTATATGTATGAATGGACAGCCAGCAATATTTCTTATCAGAAGGTAAGAAAGACTGAATAATGGCACAGTTTACTGCAGTGACTTGCCATAATGTTGGTGTGCATGCAATTAAAAAGACGGCAGACAGGTTCACTAAATTTGTTTTGGAACCCATTTGTTGTGCTTTCCTGACTCACATGAGACCAATGACCACAGCAGCTTATCCTTGTTAGTAAAAACAAAATGGCGCTGATAACAAGTTCCAAAGGGACAACAGAATGAAAGTCTACTGTGAAAGCTGGCAGTTCTTTGCTCTGACGCAGAGACTCAAGTTGCTTATGAACTCACTAACAGGCAACTTTGGCTCTTGTTGTTGCAAACTCTTGTGGTTTGTGAAAGTTTCTCACAAGGTTTCCTCAATGCTCACTACTGGTCTTTAAGACCGTGAATTCATAATGTTGTGCTGCTCTTTTTTCTGAAGACCTTCCTGACCAGGTTCTGTAGTTTGATGGACTTGTCTTTTTTCTTGAACCGCTTTTCAAGGGCAAGAATGTCATTCTTCTCTTTCATGCGAATCTCTCGGACCAGTGTGTAGAAGACGTCATCCACAAAATGACGTAAGGCAGCAGAGGTCTCGAAGAATGGACAGCTGAACTCTCGGGCTAATGCCTGCCCTTCTTCCATTGTAACCTGGAATATTGACACCAAGGAAAGGCTTCTATATGAATAGATGCTGAGATGACACAGAGGTTTTAGCTTGCAACACAAAACTGGATTACATTTAGCCATGGATACTCAAGATCATGTCTGTGTAGACTTGATGGTTTCTGAGCGACTAGTCTGTTCACGAAGGTGATGCAAGTGACTAAATGACTCAGAACTAGGACTCTACTGAGGCATGTCAGCAAGCATTGAGTGCAAATAAAACTAATGCATGCTGCTCAATGGAAAGGCCACATCTGTCGAGTGGTTGTTCACATTTTTTCCCCTTGTCACCCATCTGAGACAAAAAAGTCACCCCCCCTCTATGCACGACCTAGATCTGAATGGACTGCTGCTCACTCACCGCTCGCTTGTGCTCTAAGTCATACTTGTTGCCCACGAGCACGATGGGGACCTCGTCAGTGTTCCTTACGCGCTCAATGACCTTCTTGAACTCTGAGGCTTCCAGGAAACTACGTCGGTCGGTGATGGAGTAGCAAATGATGAAGCCCTCGCCACCGCGCATATACTGATCACGCATGGCGGTGAACTCAGCCTGAAGGAAAAGAGGAAGAATGAGAGAGCATGACAGGTGGTTAATGGATGGCTAAGGCGTGACTAGAGTGAGAGAACAATGGTTCAAACACAGGCAAGTCGACAGTCTGATTGATTTATAGGTGGAGTCAGGCTGACTTCGGCCAAGGAAATGCTTCAAGTCAGGCAGGAAGGCAATTACCTAAGCTTTGTCAGAAACAACTGCAACTTTGTAGCAATATTTGCCGCTTTCCAAAAGTTGCCATCCCTGTGTCAGGTTGACACATGCAAGTGATCCATCAAGCAATACGCTGTCAATAACATCTTTGCTCCAACTGCTCTTGCCAAGTATGAGCAGAGCTGCAGAGGTTAAATGTTCCGAAGAATTTGAAGAAGTGTGAGCTCAACAACCTGTTGTTGCAGTGTACAGAACAATTTGATGTGACTTTGAATGGAATTGCTGCACTTAACTTTCTCTGCTTTTCTGGACCAAGGACCGCATTAGTACGATTTTACAAATTGTTAGAAATGTGACTTTGGCTAGAAGGTGGGGGCTATTTGGTACCAGCCGGGGCACTAAGAGGTGCAATATGTAGTGCTAAAGGTTACCAACATCGACAGAGTCTTTGAAGGGTAAAATCATATTGCAAGCCCCAGCCTGGTTTGCCATGCATGAGTGAGGTCACAAGTTCACTAAGATAAGAACCCTCTCCCTTAGGGCTAAGCAGGGAACCACCACATATCCCTTCTCTCTACCCATGACTGGCCATGAGTCACATAACCCACCCACGGGACACCAACCCTCCCCTGGGCCAATGAAATCTGTGTCTCCACCCCTTATCAGCCTTACAGAAAATTGATTGGTAAATCCCCTAGCTAATGAGAGTGGATTGGATAAGCTCGTCAATATATTTCTCTATCAGAATCACACTAATAGGCAAGCTGTGGATTGGGGGAAGGAGGAAAGCTGAAACTCGTCAGGGCTATTCAAAGAGAAAGCTAGAAGAGAAAAAGGCAATGTGGACTGTCTGTAGAGTACATGCATACCCAGTGTTGATTGACATGTGTAAACTCACATTGCTGTTCAATTCCTATCCTGGGCATCTTACCATTCCTATCACAGTATTAAACAACATGACTCTGCTGCAGCTTAGTATTGGATTGTGAAAAACATGTTGCCACCTCAACTATTGCACTACTTATAAGTTATTGTATACTACCTTTGACTGGAAATAAACTTGATTTTACTGAGAAAAACAAAACCAAAATGATTGCCAGGTAACAGAATCTCATGAACATGGTTCTCAGAATTATGCAGTTTTCTCTAGAAGTCCCTCCCTAACCAGATTCATACAAATGTCAATTGTGTGATTATTTTTATCTCCGATTCTTTTATCACTCAGCTGTTGCTTTTCCACTTTCGTCTCAACTCTTTAACAGTTAATAATTATATGTCAATGCGTAAAATCCCAATGGGCATGTAGAAAGAATCATACTTCTTTTGAAGAGCTGACTAGCATCTGATAAAATGAGGAAGAACTGAATCAAGAACACTAATATCTGTAACTAATACATCTAATTGATTCAACTTCAACAGGTCAGATTTATATTTAAGTAATGAATCACAGACATTCTAATAAATGACACACCCTCTACGTGACAAGTGCATACTTTAATCTTCCCAATTCCTTTGAGTTTTACTGTCTCCTACAAATCACACAGACTTGTTAATTGATTTGTGATGACTACTGAAAGACAAACCACTAACACATTGATGTGTATCATAAACAATATTTCTGGATTTTTAGTTGTAACTTACAAGTTCATATAAGAACATGTAAGTAATGAAGAATAACGAACAAGTACAGGTGAGTGTACTCTCACTGAATTTTCCGTGTATGTTAGTTCTGTGAATCACTAATTACATCCACAGGTGTGACAGGTAGCAGTGTGCTTACGACTGGTTAACTAATTATAGTACTGAATCACAAACACAGCGGTGCTTGTGTGAGCAGTGGGCAAGCAGGTAAGTAAATACAGCCTGAGCAATGGAGCTAATCGTGCCAAGTTTGGGTGGAGTTTATTAGTCGTGGAAAGGATGTGATATCACTCATGGAAATGGACTGATTGCTTAAGGAATTAGATCCAGCTTCCCTTGCTCATCCTGGGGAGGCAGGGCTTGGCAGGGGAGGGTGTTACCAATGACAAGAGCATGGAACATTCGCATCTTATCGTGAATGCTGAGAGAACTTGTAAATTTGTAGGATACTGTATCTCCATGTACAGGGCAATACCCTTAGTATGCAAAGATTGAGTAGCTCAGAATGGAAGGAGTGGCATATTATTGCAAAGTAAAATCTGGACTTGTCCATTTCAAAAGGCGAATGGAAAGGGCCAGATATTGCTTAGTGATGATAACAGTCCTCCGTTTTCACAATTTCAAGCCACTCAATTTTTCAAAATAAACAGATCCTTGTCATTTCTTACAATAAAATTCCAATGATTTAAATTGCAAAAACTAGGTTCAAAACAAATTCCATTTGCTTTCAATTTGGAACCAAATTAATGTTGTAATTATTCCCCAAATTCTAACTACCGGTAACCATGGAAGCAATGTTTTTTAACATCAATAATTACTGTTTTTACAGGTTTTGGTTGTCATTCCTTCATATGTATGCCCGTTTTATTTGGTGCACATAGGATAAGTCATATCAACACATGTGTGGACACTGGACAACACACTTAGGAAACAAGGATGATTCAAACTGTTGCATACAATGGGTCAATGGGACTGGCCGCTGACATGAATGGCAGCAATAATAACTGTCATGTGATGTGAGTTCCACCAATCAACTGACAAGGATCTGGGTGTCATTCTCTTTTTTTCTAGGGCAAAGTGAAAAATAATTGTTGCCCTGATTTTCCATGAACTGCCGTGGCCTGACTTCCAGAGTTTTTCCCCCGTAAAAAAAACAGCTTAATTGCCAAGCTGTTCAGCATTGCTGATAACCTGACTCTGTGCACATGAATGTACATGAATTTCATTAACAATTTAAATACAGTATGTACAGTACTTTGAAACTGATGAGTGACCTTGCCATGGAAGTGACTGTACAGCAGTGGACTCACAGCAGTGTTTGATTATACTCAGTGTCTTCTTCATTTCTCAGTCAGTGTTGTACCATGATTATCAGGAGGCACAATTATGTCGTTTCCTGTCATCTCCTGTTGTCAGGCCTCCCCATTTTCATTTAGGGTGTGAAATCTTCTTTGTCTTATCCCCCTAATGTGATCATTCCTCTCAGCTGTTCCTCTCCATCAATTATATCTCTGTCTTAATTGAGACTAGCAAGTGGTTACCCACTACAACAAGACCAGACCAATGCATCCGGCATTATGACAACTCACCACCTTACTCTGCTGCTCCCTCCCTTTCTGCGATTTTATGGTAAGGTCACTTATCTATCCACATATGCACGCACACAAAGGTATACATGAACATGTACCAAGCTTCTCCTTGACCCCTATCTCAGGGGAAATCTGACCATGTCCATGTACTCCCATACACCCTCCTTTGACTTTCCATCAAGCAGTGACTCAAACTAAATGTGGGATGTTCCACTATCATGATCCCTTCTTGCAAAATAACAACTTTGTTATTGTACTTTCGCAACTGACATGCCATCAAGGGGCGTGACCACATGGAGAACTTTAACCACTTTGTGAAAAAAAAATTCAATCCAGATTACATTGTGCTTGGTGTGTTCCTGTTATTCAAAGTGCTCTTGCCATTTGCACACCAGCTGTGATCATATCAAACTGAAGTGATTGTTCGCTAAATGTTGACTACACCTAAATGTCAACTTTCAAGATTGTTTGTCATTCTTCCCAAAGTGAAGTCAAAATTTAGGTTCTGGATATGGAAATTAAAATCTGGCAACACTGATTACAGACATGTTATCCATGACCTATTCCCAGGTTGGGCATTCAAACTAAATATCAATGGCATTACAGTCACCCATATTTTGGCACAGGTGAAGGTTTCATGACAATTAACAAATCTTGTACAAGTTTCCCTTAGAGTTTGAGGGTAGCCTGGGCAGCTGGACCCCTCCTTTTCCAAGTCTTATAAAACTGATATGCTGCTATCACCTCCATGGTACCACTGCAACATGAAATGAATGAAGTAACACTACATATCACTAACTAGAAACCCCAGACTTTCCTTAGATATGCAAATCTACACCCCTCATGGATTGTGGGGGGGGGGGCTGCAGGAGGGGTTGGTACTTCCCTGTCCTGCTAAGGGGTGTGGATAGTGGGAGGGGCTGCAGGAGGGGGTGGTACTTCCCTGTCCTGCTAAGGGGTGTGGATAGTGGGAGGGGCTGCAGGAGGGGGTGGTACTTCCCTGTCCTGCTAAGGGGTGTAGATAGTGGGAGGGGCTGCAGGAGGGGTTGGCACTCACCTGTCCTGCTGTGTCCAGTATATCCAATAATCCCACTTCTCCATCAATCACCGCTTGCTGCTGATATGCATCCTCTGAAGAAGAGGAAAAAGTAACAAAAAAACACATTGTACAGATGTTGTTATCATTTATCGGGGGGGGGGGTGTTTACGAATGATCAGGGATCCCCTATAATGAGCTAAGAAGCACTTAAATGCCTGAAATGCATATATGATGTACATGTACGTGTATTTGATTAACAATAGGAAATCACAGCTGAAATGACATGCGACATCACGTACATTGCTTTTTCATGTTTATGTTATGTTAGGCAATATACTTGACAGGTACATGTACAATGTACTGTATGTCATCTTAATATAAACTCTCATTTGGAGCCTCAAAAACACCTGAAATTAATTTGTTGGTTGTGGCAGAATTCAAAACAAAACTGTTTGCAATGAAATAATACCTATTCCAAATTCATTTTTTTCATTATCGACTGGAACTATTAAACTTACATTTAGTGACATCTCTAAAAGACAAATATTTTGCCAAGTTGTCAAGACTAACGATAGTCTCTCTCATCTTATCATCCTAAAAGGTTCACCTGATACAGATAAAATATCACATGGACTATTTATGGGAAAGACAGAATTCCAAAATGTCAAGTGTTTTTCTTTCTTCTTCTTTTAAACATAGAAGGTGAGATACAAACATTGCTGCAGGTCAGTGATGACACAGATGGATGGGGTTATTCTTAGCTTCAGATCAAAACAACGTCAAGACAAAAAACAATAACTGACATGCCATGCAGGTATCTGAAGTAATCACTGATGCGTCAGTGTGTATAAGTAATCAAAAAGGGTACAATCCTGGTAAACAGAAAACTAAGCGATGTCTATTAATTACTTAACTGATTAGTGACATGAAACCCACACACAAATAGTTTGGGGGCACAAGCTGCTTAAATGGTGATCTTGACAACAGAGAAAAGGGGGCTGATGAAGTCTGATGAGCAGGTGAGTGGTTGACGTCAGAGCGCCTTGAGAGACTAGATTGACAAATGCTTGAGATGTAATGTAAGAGACAAGATGCTCTCAGGTCCTGGCTCAAGGAGGCTGCCCTGTCTCTTGGCTTCTTGCCAAGACAGTAGAGCAAGGTGGTCATTTTGACAAACCCCAGGGAACACAAAAAATGGCCAGCGATGTCAACAACAGTAAGACAGCTAAGACCTGCAATCCCTGCCAAACTTCTTTTCTGCTGCTGACTTTTTTGTTCTCATAACACATTTAATCTAGGCATTGTTTTCTGCCTCAAGGCAGGAGCTTTTAAAGGTCTTCAGTTTCTATATTTGTTACCTTTGGAGTCACTGTTTGCTAGAAACCTTAGGCATAATGTCAAAGCACAACATTTATTAAAGTGGGACAGTACTGGCTGTCAGCCAAATGGGCCAACTGAAAAACACTTCCATCATAGACATAGATATATGGGGAAATTTGCTGTTACATGTAAACCTACTGCATTCCTGATGCAACATAAATTAATTCCTTATTTTGCAAATACATGTAAGTACATGTATGCCAATCACGACAGAGTCCCTTTGCTTCAGAGATCTCTGTCTACATACTGCCAACACTGGTGACTAACTAATTCAAGACACCAAGGAATTAAGGATGCCCATTCCTCAACCTCAAAAGATGTATTCTGTCATCAACTAGCCACACAACCCTGCATTTCTGTCTTAACATCCGTCTCCCTGTTATTCTTCATAGTTCCTGTTGCAATAAGGGCAGGTCATCCCTCAAGGATTTAGGCAGGTTTTTTCCTTTACGAAAAATAAGGTGTGTTTTATCCCTCCCAAGTCCCCTTCTTTGGCTGCTGATGTTCGCAGCTTTCCCGCTGCCAGACTGACCGCGCCACGTGCGTGACGTCAACGGAAGGGTGCGCCGCTTTAGTGAGTTTTCACATCAACTCTGAGCGGATATCCGCGACTGGGGCCAAAGAAGACAGTCCATCACCCTACTCTGATACATTTCCTGACTCAATGGAGAATCACGGCCAAGAACTATATGTACTAGGCCCCCAACACATCGCAAAGAAGCCTTTCCCTCCTCCACTTCCAGCATGTACAGGAGTCAGTCAATCTATCTTTACTACTGCCCTAACTTCTCCATTTTGCATATGCCTAGTGGACCCTACAACTGTTTTATGCATCATTTATTGATCATGAAATAACCTCATTGCAGTCTTTCTCAATCACACTAAATCAAAAATAAAAAGTACAGTGTATGAGCCAAAAATGCAATGATGAATCAAGAAAGTAAGTGCCCTATGTGTATTTGATCTTAAACAGAAAAATCAAGCATTTCAAAACAACCTATCTGTCAATGTGGAACAATATCCAGCCAAAAGTCACTAGGATGATTTTCAAGACGGAAGGAGACATTTCAGTTGTGTATTTCTGAAGTTGTGAGTTGAGAGGGACCTTCAGCAGGGGAAGGGGTGACACAGGACTTCCCTAGAGGGGTAGCGTAGCCCCTCTGAATCATTTCTGTAGTTTTTATCCTTCAGATCCTCGAGGTGACATAAATACCCCCTCATTCTAAATATACTCTCAGAAGTTCCAAATTTGTACAGTTTCCTTTCCAAAAACATAAAAATTACATGTGCAGAGTCCCATTTCATTTTAACCAGCAAGTTTTTCACAAACTCTCAATATTCTTTTCCAGATTTTGCTTTTGTTTTGTAATAATAAATGACAAAATCTTCCCTTGAAACTGCATCAAATATTTGAAATTTACCACAATGTTAGGATGGTTTCAAGGGTACGTACATGTACAGGTAAAAGACAATAAACATTTTGTCTACACTGGTCAATTTCTCTCAGGAATAACAGGATGACAACACACATGTACATGTATTCAATGAAATTCCTATCAACTCAAATACCCAGCCATTAACAATTTACATGTTCATCCAGGGACACCTCAAAACTACCTATTAATTATTTAGTGCATTTTGGATTGAAAGCCAATGTAATTCCTCTGTAGGGAGTCACCCAAGTGGCTGTCAATGCATTCCACTGCAGTACCCACACAATAAAGGGAATAGCACATAAACACATCATAGAACATGTCCTACAGGAGGCATAAAGATAGCAGGAACACCTATACGTATGTACATGTAATGCTTGCATGTCACATTTCACTGGGTTATTGAGACTGCACACATGTTGAAATAAATATATATAGACTTATGGTGAACAAGACAGTTACAGGGGCACACCGTACTGTTTTGATTTTCCTAACAAAAGAAAAGGACTCCTACATGGACCCCTACATACGCTAGGCTAACACTTGGGAGCATCTACTCACATGTACCCATACACTGTACATCTGTCCAGTAATCAAGAGACATTGATGGCAAAACAGGGTTTCAGATACATGTCAACATGTGTTAAAATGTAGATTTGCAGACATTATGATGCCCAGTATAGCTGTAGCTCTGGACCTTTTCACAACTTCTAATGACATAAACTGACTCATCAACCTTTCACTGCCCCTTCCGTGTACCTTTTCACATCTACCTGTATTCCATTCAAACCTGAAGAATCAGGTTTGTCAAGTTTTCTCATCAAACCTGCAATGGTGCCATTTTTTTGTCAGGACAGAGTTACATTTCTAGTGCTCATTTTAACTTGACTCTAGTAACGTGTATTAATTCTTTTCAATGAGTAGATGACATAAGCGATGAACAATTAAGACTTTTGTGATTTTCACACTGGTACTAACAATGAACAATTAGGACTTTTGTGATTTTCACAATGGTACTAGCGATGAACAAACAAGACTTTTTTGATTTTCACACTGGTACTAGCGATGAACAAACAAGACTTTTGTGATTTTCACACTGGTACTAGCGACGAACAAACAAGACTTTTGTGATTTTCACAATGGTACTAGCGATGAACAAACAAGACTTTTTTGATTTTCACACTGGTACTAGCGACGAACAAACAAGACTTTTTTGAATTTCACAATGGTACTAGCGATGAACAAACAAGACTTTTGTGATTTTCACACTGGTAATATCCTCTTCCATTGTTCCAAACCCTTTTTAGCAATCTTGTTTTGATGTAGAATCTCCACTGTGATTAATTCTCTGGCTCTTTGTTGTGCGTCTGTCATTACCAACCCCCTTTCCTTGTTTAAACAAGTAGATGACGTCAATGATTTACAATCTCAAGTGTTTTTCTGTCAATTACTCTGCCCAGCCGTCAATTAATTGCATGCGATATACCTAAGTAACCACACTGTCTTATAGACCTAATTATCTTATGCTTCATTTCAAATCACTCCGCATTTTTTTCAACAAGTAGATGACGTCAATAACTGCCGAATACAGGCACAGTCTAGCTGCTACCAGGTCACATTTGGTTAGATGCCCTGGTGACAGATACACGTACAGCCTTACAGGTATGACGTCCAGGATTACTTTTGCTTTTTTTTCTTACCTATCGTGGGATCGTGATACTCAAGGAAACTGTGCGTCACAAACTGAAGTGTCAATGCTGTGGCAAAGAAAGAAAAAGGAGAGGACAGTAAGGTGAATTAAACATCACTCTGAATTGTCTCTTTTATTGTGATGTCTTCTTCCTATTAAAACTAACGATCAGGAAACAAACATTTGTTAGCTCAGCATCAATACAATACATGTTACTCTTATAAGAACACTGTAAATGTTAGCCATTTAGTGACTTCATGATGAACTATCAATAATGTCAAGAACTGAAATTTCAACATTCTAAGCCTTACATCATCGTAAAAAGGAAAAGCTGACTGTAACATTAATTATCAACAAAAATCACAACAAACAATACAAAAACAGAAACGGTTGGTAAAAGGCATAACGGTCAGTGTGCATTCTGAGTCAGCTTGACAATATGACAAAATGAAACTGACATTTCTGATTACTTTTTGTAAATTGTGATTTTGGATACAAGTGACTTTTAGAAAGTTCCTTTTTTATGCAACAGCAGAAGAGATCAATTGTAAAACCATGCAGACTTCGTGAAACCATGGGTTTGTATGGGTTTGTACATGTATATGGTGAAACACACTGCCCCACAATAAGCACAGCAGTAACTGTTGCTTTGTTGTACATGTACATGTACTGTACATGTATACCAAGTACATACAGTACATGTAGAAAGTATGTACATGTACACTGTACATGACACAGGAATGTTATTATGTACATGTATTCATTGTACATGCACATGTACATGCCTGTAGCCTAAACGACATGGCTTAGGCATCAACAGATTTATTTATAGCCGTGACCTGACCTCCCAGGTCTCTGGAAATACATGTACACATTATGCTAGTGAAATGTGTGCGTTACACCCCAACTGTCCTGTCGGTCCTACATGTACAGTGCCGCAGTTGCGCAGGCCCAACTGTTGTTGGCCAATCTCTGACAAAAATTTCTCAACCTTCCCCTAGTTTATGCAGCTCACATCTGACATAATTCATGTAAAATATGGCACTTCATTATAAAAACTCATTTCTGCAAGCACCAGCTGCTAATGACTTTGACATGCACACACTGTGCAGCAGTTGGGCCGGCCCAACAATAGCCCAATAGTTGGGATGGTCCTATAGTTGGGACTGATGCTGTAGTTGGGGTGTAACATGTACATGTGAGTACAGTGCAGTTGACAGTTGACTGCAATATTGGCCCTGCCTATTGTACAGTGATATACACTGTACATGTACAGTACTACTCTATAGCAATGAATGCATGCATACTAATGTAACACAGTGAACAATGTTTATACTTCGTAAGACTGGTCTTTGTGTCTGTTATTTGTTGTGTATAGATCAAGAAAGCACATCTACACAACACATGCTACATGCTACACTGTATCACTATTACCTATGTGTAATATGTAGCTACCATTACGAATTCATGTACATGTACTATACCGGTACGGTATGTATCCACACGGGCTCAATGAAAATGTATGCCTTTTTTTGTGCGTGTGGAAATGTACCAAACTACATGTATACAGTTTCAGAATAAAACTGACCCAGTAACTAAATTTTGATTCCCACTATGTGCGGACCTGTGAAAGTCTGTATACACATATATGTACATGTACATACGTACCGTACATGTATGTCTTTAACTTCCTCCCCTTTCTTCTGTACGTGCGCGGCTCTTTCTTAAACACACCTCATGCACTATGAATCAACCAACTTGGCATTTTTCAAACTGGATAAGAAACACTACGCCAGTGAGACATGCTCAAACAAGTCACTACACCTTCTTCACACTCTTGTCTTCTTGGAACTTAAAGAACAATACCAGGAAGTGGCCAAATGTTGTACTTCCTCCTACGCATGGCAATTCCTATTTGGGATGGTAATTCCTACTTGGGATGGCAATTCCCACTTCACTTGCATGTATGAACTAAACTGCACAATTTCTGGACGCAAACCCACAGGTAACATTTCAACCATGCATTCCTCTTGGGAAACAGGTAAAATTTAAGGAACGTGACTTTTCAAAATAGAAGTCAGTTTCATTTACAGTACAAGGTTTTTTCTTATCAAGAAAGAGAAACAAGACAAAAGATGAAATTACAAGGTTTCCTTCAGGGGTGCTACTAGTTTTGTTAGAGGTGCAATGTGCAAGTAGTTTGCAAAGTTTAGCTTTTGCTATCAGTATCAACATGCATAGCATCCATGGTTTGTACTTGGGGAAACAAACTCCTTTTTATATTATAACTGGTCTCTGGATTGAAAGAAAAATCAAGAAAAAGCCATGCATGGAAAATGTAATGATAATGAATTAGAAATTCACTGTGTGACTCTATGCCATGCAGATTATGCCCAGGGAACCTGCTCGTACATGTACCTTTGCATGTACCCAACATGTAAGCCTACAATACATGTATACAAAACCTGATGAAAGTACAGTGTACATAATGCCCGTTACAATGCTCATATGGTGCACGATGTCAAACTTATCTTTTCTGTGAACAAGAGATTGGAACCCTGGATGCTAATTCAGAAACACAATAATTCATGAACTGCAATGACGCACAGCAGTCAGTGTTGTCATGGTTACCACCCAACGCATGCACGTAAATCAAATTGAGGACAGCAAGATAGTAGCAGACCCCTGGGAGTGAGCTGGCAGCTCAGCCAGGCACTCCACAAAGACAAACAAGGCTTGTGTGAAACTCCTACCTTTCCCAAGGGAAACATCAAAACAACAACATATGACCAGTACATGTACTTCAGATTTGGATGTTGTATGAACACATTACAATGCACATGTACATAAAAACACTAGCTAGCAGGTTGCCCACTGCAATTCAAAATGACCAAGTTGATGCATATAACGTGCATTTGTATTCGTAACGCAAGTCCAATTTACAAGAATTGAGGACAGTAGTTACAATGCCTGAAGCATTTTAGCGGGTGAACCTTTCCCTTCCATTAAAACACCAAGCACTTTCAACAGGTAGTTTGCTATTTGGACCCTTAAGTCTTCCCTTCTGATGAAAACCTTTCACAGTGAATGCACAATATTTGATGGTTAAATGTTTGGGTTGATAAATTGAGGAAAAATTTTTAATTTGTTTTCCATTAAGGGTGATACCAGGTTCTCAGCCCTGATGTTCAATAAGGACCTATTGTTAGATCCAGGGATTTCTGTGGGCAGAAGCAGCACAAAACCACACAGTGCGGCTTTTCACAGGTATAAACATTGCAAACATGGGTGGAGTTTCCTAACAGACAAGAAATACAGACAACACAACAGGCCAGGAACTATTGTGGATTTGTTGCACGCTGACTGAACACTTACAGAACACCTGCAATACACAAAGGTTTCACTGTAATCTTGTTTTTGTTGATGTGGTACTGAAATTGAACAGGACCTACATGTGCATTTTCGCACTTTGAAGGTGGCAACGACTTTAGTAGTCGAAGTACATGTATTAAGTTGCTCTCCCAGTAACCACAGCACACAAGCTACTCAATTTGTAGAATCGTTTATTCTAAATTATTTGTCATTGAGCCATAGTAACAGTCAGATCCATCCTTGAACCATGATTTTGTTTATTTCTGAGTCACAGAGAAATTGACAGTTTCCTATACAAGCACATGTGAAGATTAATCGCTTTGGCACAAAAGTAAGCAGTCAGGATGAAATGTTTTTAACATCCTTTCACGGAAGTTGCCCAAATGTTCACAATGGTGTACATTTCATGAGTTGACATACTTGTACATGTAGTATTTTTTCCTTGCACAGATTCCAAAAGGTGTTGAAGTTCATACTCAGGGTTGTAACTTCAGCCATGTATTGATCAGCAGTTGGTAGGGCAGATACCACAACAAAAGCTTTGTACAAATACAGGCCAGGGCCAGGGACCCAGTCAGTGTAGTGTAGCTCCACCCAATGCACTTCAATAGAAGTTGATACTGGGTCATGGGTCCTGGATGGTTACACTACCAGTATGTGAAATCCTTTGTGCACGTACATGTACATGAACATGTCGGGTGCTTTATACTTTTGTTTCAAAACTCAATGACAGATTTTGTTCTTCGGGGTTTTTGACTGAGTTGTGGGATAGCCTTCTGGGTTTATTGTGTTCAGAGTATGAGTCAATTCAAATCTGTGTGTCACAAGAAGTGAACTGTACATGTATGAGTGTTGAGTTCCAGCATTCCTGACTACCGCAGTCAACAGAGTGGGCAGTTGTTTTGGGTGACTGGAGCTCACCCACACAGAGCAGCTTTTTTGGGGTCAATGGCTTCCGACAAAATGCTGCTTGTATAAATGTGCAAAAGTGCATAGAGTACAGCAATGCAGGAAGTTTGGATTACCTAAACAGCATAAGATCCGTTGATACACAAAATGGGAAGCTGGAGATCAGGTTGTCTAACGGGTGCATGCTACAAAAGGATGTAAAAATGTGCATACATTCTGTATGTACATGTACCGATAATAACTCTACAAAAGTACAATGTATGTATCCATGGACATGGACATGTTCACTGCATACAATGAAATTGCATGAAGGCTGTTTTACTGTGTGAGCCACAGTGCAGTGAATTTATACTAATCGTAACAAATGCCAAAGAGGGTCCCTGCAATGTTACAATTTGTATACATTACAACTCACAACCTGTTCAAAACAGCACAGAAAAAGGTCACAATATTTTGAGGTTGCAATTTGTGCCAACTGTTATAATTTACACCCATATCCTGGATTCTAAGATCAGAGGGTGGTAACTGGTCGCTTGTACTTGTTCCATGCTTGTATTGTCAACAACCTACAGTCTCGTAGGCCTGCATTTGCATACAATGTGTGCGTTTAATGTGTGACTGGCCTTGGCCTACCTATGCCCTTCCTTACAAGCAAAATATAGGAAAGTTGGCTAGACACTGTTTACAGAATTGCTTCTTCTTGTTTCCTTGGGATAATTGGCTTTTTTCCAGGTCAATATTTCATGTACAAGTCTCAGGTTAGGCAAGAGAATGCCTTTTGCTAGTACATGTCTATAGACATACAAGTGCTGCTTTTGGCTGCATATTCCATACCGACAGCTGAATGCACACTAGTTTAAACTCTACTGACCTCAGCAGTCAACTGTTCCAAAAAAATGAGGCACTACTTTGGACTTTTTATGATGCACACTTGAACCTTGTACGGTACATAAATTGGCAAATGTTGTAAAGTCTAGATAGAGCCTGGAGGCTTGATGAAAGTTGAGGGGAAAAAATTCCAGGGCTGCGTATGCAAAAGGATTTGCATGCGTGAACAACCTTATGAATTTTTAGCTACTGAAGTCTCATCAACGCCTAACAGTCCAAAAGTCAATGGTCCATTCAGGTTATGTCTAAATGTGAGAAATCCCCATGGGCCTACTTCGACTTCGTTCATGCATCTGCGTCATAGGCACACAACATACAAGAGTCATCCCACATTCCCAGTGTCACAAAACCAGGCCAACTTTCAAGAAATCAAATATACAGCAAGTCTAGCCAGTGGAATCTTTCTTAATCACATTGATTCAGGTCATTAGTTAATGCCAAGGTAGCCCACCTCAGGCAACATGTCATGCACCATGCAAACTGTACAAGTTATTGTACTATGTGCTGTCCAAGACCTCTTTGAGTGTGAGCACAACTACGGCCATACGGTATTTCCGGTAGCCTATACGTATTTGTAGCTAAATTTAGTTATAAATACAAATGTGTAGGCCTAGGCCTATATATCATGCAGGCTAATAATTAGGCCTAGGCTATAAAAGGAGGGAATCCACAATATAGAATACGCATATTAAATTTAGACATTTAAATGCTTTAGATAGTCATTTACAGTGTATATGTAGGTAGTTATTGATATACCATTATACAAGACCTGTAAATCAGACCAAAAAAAAAAAAAAAAAATTAGACTAAAGCGTCAAACTGGCCCATCATGCCTTTTGCGTTTTGGGCTTTACTAAACATGAGGCCGGTAACAAAAAACACTGTCTTGCCTTGATCAGATCGCCATGATCACGCGGTTGCTTCAGAGAAAAACCTTATATAAACATGTTCATTGTAGAAATTCATTGAAGATTTGGCTCACTTTGAGAAAACTCCAGGGAAGGCATCGTACTAAACTCAGACAAACGTGATGTGGAGAGCCATGCAAAACTCAACGGCATTAGGCCTACCCATTGTCGTTGTACGATCAACAAATGGACAAACTCACCACTTTTGCCAACACCACCCTGGCCCAACAAAACAATCTTGTAAACTCTCATTCCGGACTTGGTCATGACGGCACCCTCCATGGACGACTCAGAATCCCGATCTACCACTCTCGAGTTCCTACTTGAGGACAAAACCCTTCGCGATTCGGCTGACGAATCACTCATTTTCACGTCTTTTGATCGAAGTCACATCGCTGCAGTAGTACAATGCAATGAGTGATCATTGTACGCATGCGCATGATAAGGGATCAGGCGTGTGGCCGGCCGCGGTGACCGATGCTCAAATAAACCGCATGCGCGTGGTGGCCGGCTAAGTTAGAGCACCACACCCAAAAGTGGGCCCAAACGTTAACGCCCTTCGGGTAACTGTTTTTATGGGGAAGGTGAGTTAATCAGCAGTTATTGAACGATTTCCAGTAAGCATCAATTATGACATCCGAAGGATGATAATCTGTGGGTAGTTGACATTATGAGTAACCCATGAACCTAACACAAGGAAACAAAAATTCAATGACAAATCAGTACAATGTAGTATGTTTTTCATTTGCCGACATCTGTCTGTTTTTGTCATGGATGTTTATTAAATGATCCGAATCATTACTTTTTTTACATCACCATCGTTACGTCCATGATTAACTAGTGCACATGTTATGTATGGATGGGTTCAGGGCCAGACTCTCAATAAACATGTGCACAGGCACTAAGCATTTTAGGGAGTTACACGTAGCGGGGAATAGATTAAGGCAGTCCCTTAGGCAGAATTCACGCTGTGAAAATTCATTAAAGTGCTGGACGTTTTGAATTAAGATCTCCGCTCTGTGTATTGTAAACTGGAAACAGTTAAATGTCACAGGAATTAAAAATATATGTGATTAAAATGTGGTTAAAGCAATGGTCATGACTCGGGCGAAATACTCATCTAACTTGCTAGACAACCCCGCGGATCATACGACCATTTTTTTTTGCATGAATCAATGTTATTCTATTTAGACCATGATTAGTCCATCATGGTATCTTACGTGTGTCGGAAAATTGTTTCCTTGCTCTATGGGCGGAAATTCCGGACAAGACACTCCGCCGAAACGAGACAAAATAATCGGAAGGCGCCCGACTTCCTTTTAAACATCAATTTAGAATTTGGACAAATTCGAATCAGACTGGAGCTGAAAAAGTAAGACTTTTTTGGGTAACGCAGATAATGCTAAGCAGAAAGAATATAGATATACAAACTTCAGTGGCATGGTTGAAAAGTGCACTGTGTATCTCATTAAATGCAATTTGAGTTCATTTTGCTGGGTACACGCCAACTGAGCTTAATATATAGCAAATCGGGATTACAGAGGGCGTCCTTTATTTCATCAGAAATGCTCGAACGTAACAATTCAATTTGATTCACCAGGAGGGGGGCACTTTTACACTTTGAGGCTCGATCGCCATGGGCGTTGGAAAAATGCGACGAACTGAAGGAACATTCACGGCATGTGCGTCTTGATAACACAGTAGCTTCCTAATTAAAAAAAAAGAAAAAGCAACTAAAAGGACACTTTAAAGTGTGAGGATGATTCGGCGTCATAGAAAGAAGACCTTGTGGGCCGTGGGCGTTGAAAAGTGATGATGATCATGAAGAACATTAAGAGCTAGCATTCGCCAAGTTTTGCCATCTGTTGCATGATACATATAACCTCAATTGACAACACAACATTTGCTGCATGTCTTCTTGAGACCAGTCAATGATCTGGCTGGATGCAGCCACCTCGTATCATGAGTCACCCAATCTGAGCCATCACAACACCCAACGTCTACTAAGGAAGGGGTGCATAATGTGACCTGGAGGTCAGTACAGGGCCGGGTGAGGGGCAGGCAATCTGACTAGGCGATCGGGGAGTGGTAATATTATGTCTGGGGGTAAGTCTCCCTTTTTTGTGTTGTCCAGGAAACTGCTGAAATGGGCGATATTGGCTGACAGAACATCGCTCTAAGTGTGACTCAGTGCCGAGCCGTGGCGCAGATCGACATGCTCCTTACGTTGCAGGATTAGGATAATCCATGATCGTTCTTTTGTAGTTTTTTCCCGAAATTGTACGAGTCCACCCAAAGTCCCTGTGAAACTTCTTTCAGTTTTGGCTTGCGAGGGTTATGGAGTAATTTGTTTATTACTGTTGATTGTTAATATTAAACGTTTCGCCAATCGCCGCCTTTATGAGATCACGTTTATGAGGGAAGAATATAGCAATTGTGTTGAATTTTGGGACATATTCGTGGAGAACAAAATGGAGGGTGGTCTTGAAGGGATCAGTGTCTCTGTCTTTGATGGCTCCCTTTGAAGAAAGCTACATGAACATCTTCAAAGGTCCACGGACAAAAACTGAAGCAGCGACAACAAATTGCGTATTCTCGTGGAGGAAGGGGAAAAAATCCTTCCTCAATGTTTCACAGTATGTTTCCCCGCTGAGAAAATGTGTTTTGTACACTGGTACGTTTGTCCATGTATTTTCAAGACACTGACAAGATTCGGATGCCGCTTAAAATCAATTAGTGTCAATTTTTCTGTGATTTTTTTAGCATAGGCCTACTGGTCTGTGCTATTGCACAACTTTGATCATGCGGACTGTGTTTGAAAATAACTTCTATTCATATTGATCTCCACCTTTAGGCAACCACACCTACCTGCCCTAACAATTTTTGACAAAACAGGAAACCAGTCTAAAAGTGCGTTTGCTGTTAGCAAACAGGCTGGAGGGGGGCGTCTTGCAATGTTACGTTTCCGTTTGCAATTCTCATAATCATGAAATTTGGTACGATAAATGTTGCGTTTCTTCAGGTTTTCTTACAAATTATCGTTTGGACTTGGACATCCAAACACAGTGTCTCACTGAGGTCGTTATTGTGCAAGGTAGGGGCCTATTGTGTTGCAAGGACTTTGGTACTGAAAGCTGCATGTCTTTGTTTCGGCAGACTTTCTCAGCACGTGTTCGGTTTGGAGCGTTATTTCAGCCCGAGATGTTGAAGTGCGCCACCTAGCGTCTCATCATGACTAATTAGACTGATTGGATAGGAGTGGGGCCGTTTCCCTAGCGGACTGGCGTGCCGTTGTGTGCTCTTACAAGAAAATGCATTACGAGCCACTCACTGGTTGATGCGTCAGTTCTAGAGATGCGGTGCGGTGTGTTGCACCGCATCATCAACGCACGCACGAGGAGCACAAAGAAACACACGCGGACGGTGGATATCAGCATCTCCTATAACAAATTCTCAGCCATTTTCGGAAAGAAATTTCTGAATGATGATCTCCGTTATTTGAGATTTTTTACGCCTTGAAAAAAGGACTTAATATCAGTGAAAGAAAGGGCCAGAGAACATCGTATAAGGAAGGAACAGTGCATGGAGATTCGTATGATCAACTGACAGCTGTTACGTAGGTCTCAGTTGAAAAGAACAACTTGGAGCCGGTCGACGTCGTGTGTAAGGCAGCATGGGTCTGGGCGACAAAACGGGGGATGACTCGGGTCAGAAGTATCAACGTGAGTCTTCTCGTTAACTCATTTTGTATTTTTGGATTTTTGAGAAATGAGTGTGTGGGTGTACTGATGTAACAGAGGAATGCTGGGAAGGGGAGATGCAACGCTATAAATTGGGGCTAATTAATATTTACAATTTGATATGCGCAACACATGACCAAAATTAATTTCATGACACTGCATAATCAGAGACATAATCTAACTGTGCGTTGAAGTTTTCAAGAAAGTGCGATAAACAGTTGCAAATTCCATTTTACAGAGACTTTGTAAAAAATGAACTGTTGTTTTGTTTTAGCCTTGTTCCCGTTGGTTCCATTTTTGGACAGGCCTTTTAGTTCTCAACCCCCGCATTTCTGACGCACCGAACATTATTCATGTAGTGAATTCGAAGAGCCTACCAAGTAAAGATAAGATATTTACGTTTAAAATGATCACTGTTGCCATGAATGTCAAATGAATTTTTGAAATTCCAAATCAATGTTGACGAAATTCGTTTCTGATACTGATTTTCATAATTATAGGTGTATCACGTGAATAGCAGCTTCCAGGTTTTTTCTATTATGCGGACGCTCTAATCTCAATCATTCATACTACGTGTAACGCTGTCTGCGCGTAACTGTCACGTAACAGTTAATGTTAATGTGAAATTAATATTTAATTTTATTTCAAGTCGCAGTTTCGTAACAGAACGCCTTCTTCAGTATCTATCAAACAGACAATTCTTCTTTTCATTTATCTTTGTCCTTGCATTTAATTTACCAGTTGATGCCGATTTGACAGTGCAGTGAGGAAGCAAACCATAGCTGATTTTGACCACACACGAGGCACATATACCCTTGACAACCTTGTTTTATGAACATTTTTGCACAGACCACTCACTAGTACAACACAACCATTTTTGTTCAGCATGTGCGTGCGTTCTGTTGATTACCTCCAAGGTTGAAAATGTAGCATATTTAAAAATTGTTGTATTTTGAGTGGATGGGGTATGACTCATCACCATGAAACCTAGTGGACTGCTCTTTTTTATTGTTTTGTGATTTTTTTTATTAATAGCAGCCATATGATGGTTTCCTAATAGACTCTAGCGTGTTGCTGATGTCAGAGTATAGACGTAATCGGAATCATTATGTCACTGCTTCGTACTGAACCATGCAAACATGCAGTCCAGACGAACCGACTCATCTCACGGCCGGTAAATTAATGGCGATGAGTCAGTCAACGACTCGCCGGTAAATCACGGTACATCACCGCCAGCTCTGCCAACATTTCCCGGAGAAAATTAAATTGGAAATAACAACAGCTAAAATAACGGCTTTGTTCGGAGCACAGGCAGGACTAGCGGGCAGATTTGATTACGCGTGTGTGTGCTGTTCAGATTTATGAATACCTTTGGCCGGTGCGAGATGGAAATTAAATCTGTTTGCTGTGTTACGTGAACTCTTGAGAATGTACAAGACCACATAGAAACACATAATTCAATCGAAGCAGCGAGTTTGTTGTCTTGTGGGTCTGGGCTGAAGTCAAAGTTCGTCGAATCTGCGCAGTGCGAGACGTTATGTGGATCAGTTGTGGTTGATATGCAATAGTGACGTTGCAGGTTTCGTCATGTAGGATTTAAGTTTGGAGAAAAAAAAATATTTAAGCAAAACAGACAGACAAACGCTTTACTAAGTCTCAAAAGACTAATAGCCCTACTTGATTTTTTCCATTATGCATTCTTCAGTACACATCCGCGCAATTGCAGAGAGAGGATTTGAATTGAAGGTATAAGATCTTCTTGGAGAAAATTTGGTATTAAACTTAATGGGAGAGTCCTTCCGCCTAAACCACCGTGTTACCAGCCCACTAAAAGGCCTAGACCTAAATGAACCGACGTTCATTTACTTTGCCATTTCCCTGCATGTCGTGAAGTTTCTTTCGTTATGTGCGATCCATCCTCTGTAAAGAGTCGCTTTAAAGTCACCTCATTACATTCCCGACATATCGCTGGAAATCATACGCGGCCATGTAAACTGTTCCTTGATCAAGCCACATCCTTGAACATTCAAACGCTGTTTCTACAAAATTAATGTGCATTTTCACAGGACGACTACAGCGTGTGCAATATGCCGTTGCGTGTGAACACAATAATTGAGCTAGTTCGTCATTTCAAAATGGAAAGGTTACTCGAGAAAAAACACGCGTGTGTGTGTCGGTGTATGGCCGTACGGATAATTTTCCCGAATGACCCCGGGCCCGGTTAATTTTGGGCATGCGCTGTTGAAATACCGAACTGGATCATTCTTAGTAGTAATAAGACAGAAGGGACGTTTGCGGATCCTCTTTATTTAATTCTTGCTAGTAATCTTCTGTTGCATTTTCCCTAATCTGGACTTAGTTTGTTCAGCTTTCTTCATGTTCATTGCTTTGTAACTTTCAGCCATAACGTCTTGGTTAACCGTGGCAGGTTATTCAACTTGATTGTTATACGGGTTAAACTTATGCATGAATCTTTCAACTGACAACAGTTTTGTTCCATGAATCTTTGACAGGAAGTCCACTTTCCATTTTTTTAAACCACGATGTAGATTTTTTTCAACAGCGTTGACTTCTCTAACTCGTTGACGCCAGGTTTCTGGTTTGCTTATCCCTCTTACGTAGCACTTTAATACCAGACCCGCTGATCCCATATCAAGCAAACACCGGCACAGCCAGGCCTGGCTAGCGATCAATTTTGCTCCGGTCGATCCTCCACTGACAGGTGTCAGCCGGCGCAAATTCCCCGGACATTTCAGTTTTCGTTAATTTCATCCGTAGTTCGCGCATGCATACTTAATACCACACAAGCACGAGCTCGAATGCAAGGTGAAGGAATACATTTTTTGTAATAATTCGGATTGATCTTTGGGCGAATATGGCCTAGGCGACGTACGGACTTCGCAACTAATCTTAGTCGGCCTTGGCACGGCAGTGAGTGTGGGTGTTGGCTCGCTTTCAGACTGTGTAAAAATCGGCGAAAAGCTTGCTTAACGACAGAATTTAATATCGCCATCAAATTTCAATTCGTTCGACTTCCCATGAGAAAATTGTTATGAAATTATATACACACCTGCATAAGGCTCGAAACTTTCCTTTGAATTTGTCTTTTTTGTTCTCAAAATTTCTGTCGCCCATGCATATCGAATTGAATAATTAACTGAAAGAAGGTTCAAAAGAAAAACTAAATTTTTGAAGGTGTTACAAAGGGAATAAATTAACTCTCCTCGGCCAAAATGACAGAGTTAGGCCTTTCTTTTTAACGAGGTATTCAATTGTCAGTTGCATAACATTGTTACAATTTGGGGGGAGAGGGAGGGAGTTTGGAATTGTTTTTAGAATATGGCTGTCATGTTCTAAGCTTGGACTTCCCTTCGATTTTCAAAATCAATTGCATAGGAGAATATTGGAAACATAAGATCAGCTAAGAATAGTTATTTTCAACACTCGAACAGTCGAACTTTCTGTTAAGAGTTTGTGAAGGTTCAGCTGTAGAGGTTCAACATAAATCGTTAAGAAACCATTAATACAGCATGATGTGTCTTTCCTATGAAGAGAAAGATGCGGAATTCACACTCTTGCAACAAACCTACTGTTTCAAGAGTCTATTTTGAAACTCATTTCAAACTTAACGCCTGTCGCAAGATACGCGCCTGCTTCATCTTGATTCGCCCCTTATGTGTCTTAGCCTCGTGAGGATTTCCACACATCTATTGAAACAGATCGGAGGCTGGTAACATGACAACGCGATAAGAGACCAGTGGCAGCACTTTTATCTCGCCTCAAAATTTATTCAGCATTTTTAATCTGCGAAGGCGATATCCGTTTGAACACGACGCCGACACAAAATGTCAGTCCATGGGATGTCTAATGTGGTCTTGTCTCAAGGAGCTTCTGGACTAAACGAGCTTCAGTACAGGCGAGGCAGATTTCCGTATTTCTTTGAACTCGACAGGTCGTTCTTGACAGAATTAATATCAGGACATTAAGAGTTTTGAAATTGAATCGGCTAGTGCCAAGAAAGGAATCAGAGGGGCTGTCCATAAGAAAGGAAGGAACGCCGGCAAGCATGAGGGTAGAATTTTAAAGAGTAAGTTACAGGTCAAGTTCTAACTTTAATCAAAGAGCTGAATGAATACTGCTGAATTATTGGTACTCAACGGTTCTTCCTTGTGTCTCGCCTGTTCTTGTCCTCCCTTTGTTGTCACTTTGGCGTTGTTGCCGAAATATCAGATCGAATCTACCAGGAATTATCAGAATTTAAAACTCCTTCTGCCGTGGAACTTTCATTGTTATGAATTACTCCAAGGAAAAGGGCAAATAACCGACAACAAACGAACGAGTAAATGCCATGAACCCGTAGATATTTGTCATTGCTACGAGAGACACAGTTCGTCAACCTATTTTGTTAGAGTTACTGAAAGAAAGTTAATGTTACTTTCCCCCTTGGAAGTCGGCGATTACCAAACCAAAAAGCGTAGGAGTTGCCGGCAAACATTTCCATCTCCAAGGAGCACCCTGCGTCAATGCCATGCTCTCAACTAATTTCTCTAGGCATCAACAAGAAACCTGCTATTTGCACTAATGGCGTGCATGGGTTCGAGTATGGCTGATTATTTCACGGAGTTACAGCTTCTCAGAAAAGATTGCCACCAAGCTGATTTGGTTATAGCTTGGTTCATAACACTGCTGTGTGTTTTAACGGCGGTTAACCGCCTCCCGTGGTCAACTGGCGCACTTTTCGAAGCGTCTTTGATTTCGTGTCTATAAAATAAGAATGGCTGGCGTGATTATAACGTCTTAAACTTCAGGAAAGAACACTGGAAAACTGGATTCATCTGTTTTGAATGTGGAAACTGTGGAGCTGTGTCATTCGACTTGTTTAAGGGGCGGTTCATTTACAGCCTTGTGGACTCTGTGTAGGTAGTCTTGTTTTATCCTGAAGAAAAGATCTTTCTAAACGATTTACGGCGTACTTAAGGAAC